CCGAGCGATAAATGCGATTAAATAAAAATATTTCGTACTACGACACGTGTGCGTCGAAAAGGAATGTCTTGGAACAACATGCAATAAATTTATTAATACAGAATAATATATGCCAATCATCGATATATCATCGTATTAGTCATCCCGTTAAGCTGCAATTCTAATGCAAATAGCTTCGTGTTTGCGAAATAAACGATACGAAACCTGGATTAAACAAATAAGCGATAAAAAGGAGAAAAGTATTTTCTGGAAAGTGACGCGACACTTATAATGTATACTTTAAACGATTGTTATAAACGTTCTGAGCAATGTGTGTCAAATAAATCGAACTGTTTCTTCACCTGTGTTTGGCATTCCTGCTTATGCATACAATGAAACTTCGCCTACGTGTAAATTAGGTACATGTACGTAAACATGAATACAGAATAGAATAATAATTCAATTTTTAATTATTGCGTCATTGATTTCCAATATAATTCTTCAATTAATATTTTAAAAAATCATAATATCTGATCAATTTCAGATTAATTTTTTTTAATCCATAAGATGATTCATCCGGTTATATCACGAGGTGAAATCGTACGCCTTCGCATTTTAAATTCGTTCCGATCCTATTGAATTTTCACTGCTGTGAGAAATTCTAATATAAAAATATGTGGGAATCGACGAAAAGATTTAAAGTTCTTCCACTGTGTTATTCGGTTAACGGAAGTGGACATGTTATCGATCTTGTCGGTAAGGAGGAGCCCCATCTTGCTGGTAACATCCTGTTAGGAAGCGGAGCTCTAGTTTCATGTTGTTCAACATTCAACACATTGAGAATAATGATCTGTTATATCAGATAGTTGTCATTGTTATACCGTTAGTCGGATTTCTAAATTAGCATCACTGATTAGTTTGCTCGTAACGATATATTCGTCCGTATCGTCTTATAACAGTACGTAATATTGATTCGACAGTGTAGTAAAAAATCGAATCAAACATATTGGAGCAAATAATTGTGAAAGTTATTACAATCGGCAATCTCGTAAATTAATCGAGTTCTATAAAATAATAATCAATTGAAGAATCGTTATCGATCGGAATTAATAAAGATTTTGTATGAATAACTAAGTTTTTATTTCTGAACAAAAAAAATCTAGCATCGCACGAAATGATTAACTATCTGGACACGTCCACGTAGAGTATGATGTAATGCTTATGTAATATTGCCAAGGTAAAATTTGTATATGTGGGTGCGTGGGTACGAATTTTTGCATTTAAAATTTCAAAGGAACAGTAAAACTGGTTTATTTGATATAGTATACAGGAAAAAGCTAGATTTCCAATGTAAATGTAACAATAAGAGTTGGAGATTTCCAGCGCTTCTGACTTCAAATTAGGTCACGCATAAAATTTTGTTTAGCAAATGCATAAAATATTAACGGTGATTCGACATTGTTTTGCTTTGAGGAAAAACATCTTTGTCTCGATGTTTAACAATGAAATACGTTATTATTAGTTCTTGTAAAATTGCACTCGTTCGAAAAAATATTTGCATACGCAAAAATTGGATGGAAAGGTAATTTGAAATATTGGAAAAATTAGATCCGCCATGAGATACGTTCGTATAATTTGTACTGTTGCAAAAAAAAATTGATATCGTGGACGTACTGCCCTTCAACCAGAAATATCGAGATATTCGCAAACGTTTCATCCGGATCCGAAATTTGATTTTCTTTTTAAATTTCGACACTCTAGATTTAACGATTCGTACGGGAATTTGAATATAGATATTTTTTTACTCGTATGCATACACGCGCTGGCACGTTTTCTTATAATTTCAATGCAAGATTTTTGTATGTACATATGCTGCATCTAGCTCTGTCCAAACGTATAAGGTATATGTGTGCATTGGTAGAAATAATTATTTGCAAAATTTAAATAGGTAAAAAGACAAGAAAATGAAATTCCAAGCTTAATTTAGCACACGATCGTTACGTAATAATATTTTATTAAACTATGTATCGAGTATTCACTTTTCTCAGTGTTACCAACCCTACATTCATGAAACGTAATAATTATTTAATATTCTTATAAGATACACGCAGTCCGTCCACGCGTTTCACGTGTTTTTTTGACAGCTCCAGAACAAAGCAATCGTTGACAAATGGCACGTGGCCATGCATGAGAATTTTTGTTAGACTAGAATCAAATTGCGCGCTATGTATGACACGCCGTTTCCGAGTTTTTATCATTGACTATAATATTACTGATGTGTAAATAAGCATCGCATGTCAATTACAGCTAACGTGATTACGACAGAAGTTTACAATAGAAATAGATTCAAGTTTATGCGGGGTCATATAAATGACGTGTCAGCGTAAGAATAAAGTGCTGACAGGCTTTTGAGAATTTTCATTGAAAATGATCAAATTCACAAAATAATTAAATCATGAAATTTCTGCCGAAGGGAAAGTATGCATGTGCATAATTTTCTAAAACTCAAAATTTCATAAAGGGCCACGTATCATTTCCTAAAGATTGCGTTGTCTCCGAACTTTCAAAAAAAAATATATTTTGAACTCGTGTACCGATTATACAATTTTTAAACACGACACACGGTACGGGCGAAAAAATGTTTAAAAAACTAAAACTTTTTTCTTCAAAATACGTACATAAAACCTTAAAATTTGCAGCTCTCAAAAAACTAAAATACGCGGGACTTTGTGCCTACGTGTCTGGGTATTTGTTTAAACGTGCATAATAAAAAAAAATAAAAACATGACTAAAGTGCAAAAAGGGGAAAAATGAGAATCGACGTACAGCACGTAAATGGAGATCAGTCGATGAGAGCGGAATACAGAATGCATCTTGTCCTCGAATTATCGCAAGAGTGCAATAACCCCGGTGAGGCTTATCAGCAAGAATTCTTATCGCAAATGTATCCGACGACGATGTCGGCAATCGCGCATGAAAATGAACGAGAGAAAGAGAGGAGAGGGTGGCGAATAAGAGAAAGAGAGAGAACTGATACCGTTTTCATTTAGGTGTATAACGTTAAAGTAGGTCGGGATAAGATAGTCTAACTATATAAATTAAGCCGTTTAGGTTAATTAGATAGCGATAAGATGCAAATAAAAATTTAAAAAATATAACGTATTGTCACTCAAAATATAAACGCGTGAACGAAGCTCTTGAACGTGTTAAAATGAAATTCAGTTTGGATTTATCAAAAGGTCTGCCTAATGTCTACTGTAAGTCTGGATTAAGTCCGGTTAAAGTAATTTCGCTTAAACCTTAAACTTTTTTATAATAGATTTCATGGTACGATTTTCAAGTCTGGGATAACTATAGGAGAAGTGTAGATTGAGAATGAAAAAAGTAGCAAAATATTTAAATCAAGTGTAGGGCATCCTTTGATCAATATTTCCCATACAGTTGTAAAAGAAAAATTCGTCTACTTTAGCGAAAAATGTCCTCCGTGTATAATTCTCAACTACGAAATCTGCAAAATTCACTCTGATTATTCGTGAATGTAAATTCGTGGCATCTGTTATAGACGTTTCCCATATCACTGTCAGACCTAAAATTTGCCTTGGGACGACATGCACATACAGTTCATTGACGAGTAATGTGCTTTCGAGGGGTTTTCTTGATCTGAGTTTCAATGTAAAAGAGTCACCTCCTTCCTGAGCTTTCCTTAATGGCTTTATCCGAAAATGAGTCACTCACAACGCACATTTCACTCCGCCATAGATTATACAATACTTACGTGCCTGAAACTGAAACTGAAGGAATAACGGACAATGATTAACGAATAACCCACAAATCATTATTCGTTATCCTTAACAAGTCTGAAACTTGATTGTCGCACATAGATATCGCAGTATACACAGTGACTCAGTTGTGAGCATAAGAAAGTTATATTAACGTGTTGAAAGTTTATGTTCACATTATTGTGTATTCTTTAGCTTATAAATATATGTATAAGTAGATTCTGTGATTTTTAAAAAGTGCTTACCACAAGCAACCAGCCGTATCGCGCCGAACCAAAGGTGGCAGGTTCGATCCCATCTAAGAGCCGTTTTTTTTTTGTTTTTTTTTTGGAAAACAGTGATTTTAATTTTCGTAAGACGCTGTTCGCGGTAACACAGATTTCGGCGTAATTTCAAATTTCAGCTGGCTTTGCACTAGGACGCATTGCACAGGTTTTTTGTAATTTAACTCGAGTCCTAAGCTAATGCTATGTACCGCATATCTATCAACATCCGAACTTGGCTGCAGATCCAATAAGGGCTTAGTTCGTAGTGTTAAATGTACAATTGCCTTCGGAGACCTGAAACTCGTGTATGTTTAACAAACGTCTACCGCTCTAGGAAGCTGCTTATCCTTATCCTTGTATGAATAATTGTTTTCTCGACTATAAATTTTGGTTTCCTTTTCATGAAAAAAGAGTCGAACAAAAGATATGTCGGCCCTCTCGGTTGGAATATTTAATCGGCATAAACAACGTGTGACATTGGCCTCGTAATTGGTTCGCGATCGGGTGCGTAAAATTATGTAAGCGATTCGCTTAAATAAATCACAGCGAATGGCCGGGACTGTTGTTTCCCGTGCGTGTATCGCTTAAAAATTGTTTTTAACAGCCCGAAACCGGTTCGGTTATGTAAAAGGAACGGCGGGGCCACTAGCGAGCTCGGAATATAACAAGAAATTGCCAGGTGCTCGCTGGCTTTGAGAGCTATAGATGACGAAACGTGTGGATTTCTGCCAGCATCCTTAATTATTCTATTTTCGTATTCGCGTATCGCGAATTGGATCTTCCGCGAAGAGGAATCGGAGGAAGAAAAGGAAGGAAGAAGAAAATAGTGACCGTGACTTCGGGGAAAAAAAGTAAATAGAGAGCATCGGTATCAAAAATATATTTGGTTTTTGGCAGTGTTTTGAATTTTTGAGAAGGAGAGTTTATTTTAAGAAATATTTTTAAAAATTTAGTAAATTTTTAACAAATCCTCGTCGATTCATGAATTCTGGACAATCTGTTAACAAACTTTCTTCACAATAGTAGACGTATTTATTATCGATATTTAATCAATTAAAAAGTTGAACCAAATCCAATTTTTATTTTATCACCATTTCAGCACGTTTCACTGCTAAGAATACAAAAATAGCATTATATTTTTATTTGTAAGATTAATCCAATTTTTTTATCATTATCTGATACTAATTGGAAAATGATTATAGGACAAATTATTATTATAGACTTACGTCATTCTTCCCTGTAACGTGCTATGGGGTTTGAAAACTTTCAATTCTCCTCGACAAAATCCTCTTTTTTGGACATTAATTATAAACATATACGCTCAATGTCGATCTACAGATTTATTAACTTTGATTATTGATTCGAAACAGGCAGTTATTCTGCGAGGGGTTACTGACACAACGTTGTCACTCGGCCAACTCGTGAATTTTTCCAACAATTTTTAGAACTGGCAGCGTCCGCTCGCCCCTCTTTACCACCCTCGCGACGCCTTAGGCTCTCTTCACATCATTGACGAAATTAACGTCGCGACAGTCGCTAGATATACTTATCATAATAAGAACTTGCCAGACAAGATGTCTGTGACACCTTCATTCACGTCTACGACAGGGCTGTTATTGGCACCTGGGGGCCCCGAGCAAACGTAACCCTCCAAAAATACATAAAATCGGTGACATTTTTTCTGTAGCAATTACTCAACGAAATATTACATCATTTTCGTTTGTCATTTTACTTGAAAATTATATAATCGAGTACCCAAACAAATAATTTGAATTCACAGACTGACCTATATTTTGTTATCAAATCATCGCATTTTAATGGAACGATCAGTTGCTCATTGACATTTTTTTATTTTACTATTATAAATACAAAAAATCGCAGGCAATCGATTTTTAGCTATTAAAAACATTTTCTTTATCGACTCCGTATGGAGTTTACCGACATTACAATTCTTGTAAGATGTTTAAATATTTCATAATATCATCAATAAAGTTTTTTTATTTTTCTCGGACATCATTTCATTTCATAGTGTCGTCAAACACGTTTTTCATGAGATGAAAAATTGAAATGAAATCTTCTACAAGTTGTAATATCCGGTGTGTTTATGTGCACCGGATGTCCGACAAAATCACAGACGCAGATACAGAGACTGCCACAATGCGTGGGTAGAGAAACACGTAGAATTCATAGAAACAGAAGTTTTCGAAACATTTGCCTCTCGGTATCCTATATCCTGCAAATGAAAATATCTCATACATAACGTTGCGGGCATCGAGCCAAATTTCTATAATAATAAACGTAAATTGCTGGGCAATGGAGCAGGTGCAGCATAGCAGTCTAGGGTACACATATGCATATAGTTAGCGTCCCACCTATGATCGGTGCATAATTGCCTATCGCGTATTTCAAATAGAACTGCATTGATTAATCGTCTGTTGATTTTGACGTTTCTACAGTTTCTGCTACACATTTCTTCATTACGAACGACAAAAATACATAGAGTTGTCACATTGATATAGCGATACCGCCTAATAAATATAATACTAATAAAAAGTGAAGGATTAAAAAATTACTGAAAAAAGATAATTTAAAAGTATGCACTTGTAAGGTCTACCAAACGAAATAAATTATCTTGATTATCAATGATAATTAATATTATTAATTATTAATTTTAAAAACATTCGTTATCAATCACAATCAGCCGACACTCATTACACCTACAAAGTCCAATCAACATATTTGCAAAGCACTGAAAAAATATATTGAGTAGAAGAAATTGAAGAGTAAAGTCTGTCGAGCATTTGATGGAAAATTTCAAAATTCAATTTTCAAAGAAAGTATCGACTAGTAATTATCGCGAATATCAATGTCGACAGTTGTGTTGGAACGGATAAAAAGTAAATGGGAAATAAGGTAAAAATAGGTAAATAAAAAAAAAGACTAGAAGAAGTCGAGAGTCATGGTCGTTCCGTGTAATACCTTCATTAGCGAAGATACAACGAGGCGATGTAAATTAACAAACAATAGTCCGTGCGTTAAAGCGAAGACAATGGATCCGATGCCCACGTTCGATAACAGCACGCAGAGTTATTTAACGTTCGTCCAGTGTGTTGCGCGATGGCTAATTAAGCTGAAAATAGTAAGCAAGAATTAGTATTAAAAAATTGTGAAACACATTGGACGGTATCGCAGTTGCATGAATTTAATGTTAAAGCAGGTGCTTAGGTTAGGTTGGGTTAATAATTACGACAGGCACCGCATTAAAAAGTATATGGTAAAATAGTCGTTCGATTTATAAGACAATATAATGATGATGAAAATTCAATAAAAATCATTGATTTATTTTGGCATCCAATTTTCGAGATTCTCATTTGGATCTTAACAGACTCCACTTTAACGAAGCTTCGCCAAGCATTGTCTCGCAGTCGTAATTATTCGAAACAATTAAGGAGCTAATTATCTTACGAGCATTTTCCCCATCGGTCCCATAATCCTGATTACTTCTCACAGTATATCTATATATCACTGTCTCCCATATAACGCCTGCCTCGATTGCTGTAGGCTTTAAGACTGTATATACATACGGCATAGAACGCATAAAACACGCGGCAGAACTTGATTGCATGAAAAATTGGATCTTTCGTATGATAACGGAAGGGGCCACGTCAGAAACATCAAACGCGTTACACTGGTGCTTTTAAGAGAGTTTTAATCGCGGAGATCTGTTCCCGATACCCTCATAGATTCTGTAAAGCAGAACACTTACCGACGTTGTTCCCATAATTCACAGTTATAAGTGCAGTGTATAAGGATCATCAATTATTTCCCGGTATTAAGCCATAACCTCGTATATGGGAACTAGTGGCATTCGTTTGAACAGCCGTGCACTCGTGTACATTTAAATTGTAAAAGAGATTGAAGTTTTATACAAGAAATGAAATCAAGTGAATGAGCTTTTATGGATATCGTGTAATCTTATCAAAATATAGCCGATAATTGAAATGACACATTTTTTAATATATTTTCGATCATTTACCATAGAACTTTTGAATTCGTGAAATTAAATTGTATAATTTTTGGATATACATTGAAAAGTAAGATTTTTCAAAATTTACAGTGTATTTAAATTCAAAATGTGTCTCGTGGCAATTTTAGGTGAGATAATTAATAGTTGCTCGATATCTAATGATTATGGATGATAATTATTAAAATCCGAATTGGATGACAGTCACGGTCAAGTAACCTTTAGACGGACTAGCTGTTAGTAAAAACGTAGTATACGTTATCAAAGCGTCGATTGAAACGTTAACAAAGTTGGACTTGAGTTAATTCGAATGGTCATTAATTCTGACGACTTCCGTTTCCTCTTAGGAAGTCTTAACTCTCTCTGCAGCTCTGTTAATAGTCCTTTTCACTAGAATTACTTTCGTGTAAAGGTAAAAGAATAAAGAAAAAAATTACACAACCTGTAAAGTCTCTGATAAAACTTAATAACGTTAATGCATAGGTTATATCACGAGTGACAACACTGTATATAATTAGTAGCTTTATTGCCGCTACTACTAGTCTTAAATATATGCGAAAGATACCTTCAAGCGAAACTTCCTGTAAACACTGTAAAAAATTGAAATCGATTGAGCACGTGAAAGAGTACTAAGAAAAATCAAATGCATTTTTATTTAAAAAAATGCTTCGTACGAACGCACCTTTATTTATTGAAAATTACGTATCTTATTCAGATATAAATTTCACTTTATTTATTCTTAATTCGATTATAATTTTATTACCCAACTTGCATTTCTACGTCCATATCGATTCGCCTTGCATTTATTAATAGCTCGTGTCAACATACAGGATTTCTAATTGCAATAGTTGATAAGAGACTTTTGCCAAAGGAAGGTCGCAATTCACGATACCGTATCGCATCGGTCTGACGAGAGTATAACCAGATTTTACGTTTATAAAAATTAAAAATATATTTATGTATAGATACAAGGGTCAATAAACGCTCAATATATATTTTTTTTATTACACTTGGTCTTTTTTGAATATTTTTTTCTTACTACTTATAGTACGCGCTATAAATTTATAGATACAGATACACGCATTTGCGTTATCGTACTCAACCACGTGTAATGCTGAGAGCTGTACAGTTTTCATCTTCGCGCAAGAAAACAGTTTCGTTCCCATTGTATATATAAGATCTGCGTCAGCAAGTATCTTTGATAGCTCCTCTAGGATTGTTTTTTACTCCGTCTCGCTCATATTTATTGGGTGTAAGGCGATTAACAGTGCATCTAGAGAAATGGTCAATTGAGGTTATCAAAAGTGCGGGAAACAATCGTCGTTATTTAATTTTATTATTTTATACGAAACATGTGCTTGTAAAAGTGTCTGATAATTTTTTAATATCAAAGTTCAGTATGTATTAAATTTTTAATGCTAAACGGTTCGACCTGCATTACTTTTTCTCACAATATAATCATATGATTTCCAATTTATTTTCTTCCTTTTTTTTGGGTTTCTTTTGGATAATTTGACAATTTTTACTATCGGATGCTATTTCGGTATTTTGTTACTAACGCAGTGGGATATTAAAATTATCACCTACGAATTTTCACACGTTAATTGCAAATCAGGTGATTGGTCATCAAACAGTATGAAATATAATTTTTCATTGTATATTTTTAAATCTTCTTCGGATAAGGACCAGATATTGATCGCACTCTTATCAAGAGATAACGAACGGATTATGAAAATTAACGTGATAATAAAGAAGTATAAGAAATCATAGTAAATGTGTTTTTTTAAGAGATGGGAAGTCAGGGGAAATAACAACTGCGTATTTCAGTTATATGTATGAGATTATATCGAATGTTGTATAGAATAAATATTTTCATTGCAGACGATAAGTGTATCTCATATAGGATCATCTGACGATTTTACACAGCAGGAATTTTTTATGCGATATGGAGTGTGAATGAAATAATGGAAATGTAAAAAATATGAATTCTGTTTGAATGTACATAGGAATGAGAAATTTTTTTAAAACGAGAGTTGGCTTTATTGGATTTCACGTGACAGTGAATTACACGAGGAGGAAGTGAGAAAGCTTACGCATCTCTCTCTCTCTCTCTCTCTCTCTCTTAGTGGCTCATGGAGAAGATTCAAAGAGCCCGTAGGCCGTCACGAAATTTTACTCACGGTTGAATCTCTTTACCAGTACCACCTCCTTGGTGTACATATCGTCGAACCGTAACGTTAGTTCCATATTCAGCCAATTTATTTACGCTCTAGATAGTCAGAAATTAGAGAGAAATGATATTGCGATTTGTCCAGAAATTGCATTCATTGCCAGTTGCTACTGACGCTTAGTATAATCGTGGCTACGTTCAAAGTAGGTTAAAATTTATATTTCTCTTATACAGATATAGGTATAGGTATAGAAGTACATTGAAGCGAAACGAATCACCTGAAGTTAGCCTCTGTCCATTTAATTTCAATAGTAGAACCAACTTCGGTTATTACGTTTGTACTGGAAAACTTTGTATGTAAAGACAAATTACATAAAGAAAGTATGGCATAGGGGACTATTTTTAACTAGATACCATAAACAGGAGACCCCTCAAAAACAGTATTAGAATGCTTTAAAATATTTTAACAATTCTCTCGACTGTTTTACTCAATTTGTTTCTATTTACGAAATTTCAAAAATTTTCATGGTATATTTAAAGTTTGACATTTTTTAAATGCCGAAAATTGTCATATTTACCATTCATTTGATCTTCTTCAGGATTCAGCAAGAAAGTCAGTCAGCATATATTTCTATGTTAAAGTTATTATGAAAAGTAAAGAAACAATGAATTTAATAAATCTCTGGAATTTCGTAGACTTGACAGTCCATTAGAAGAGTCTACAAATTTTAACAATAATTAGAGTCGAATAATATTTTATCCATTATTCTGACTAGAAATTAAAATTTCGAAGAATATCTGACCGACACCACCATGTACCCATTATATTTAGCCAAACAATATACAAGAGAAATCTTTAGGTCAAGATATAAGAAGTTTGATGCCAAGCTTGCTTTGAACTATTTTCAATGATTCTTTTTCAAAGAAAAGTTCCAGGATCGCAAGTCATTTAACAGGTATTCATATAATGCTATATAATGGGATAATTGAATCCATTAGATATGAAAGAGAAAATCTCATAAAAGATTGAACTACATCGTCAATATACATGTATATATTTACACTACGTATATCAGTTCACCAACCAATAAAAACACTCTCTCCCAGCCATCTTCAACTTTTCTCTTAATTGCACTTGTTGTAATTAACAAGACGCACGCAACTTTTCTCTCAATTAAGCCATGCCTACGTAGCCGCAAACCAAGCCGACTATTTTTTTTTTTTCAAATACGGAAAATTTTTCCATACGATATCTTACTATTTGACTACTTGATGCAATAATTAACAGTAAACATCCTGAATTCGTATGTGGGTGTTTTAAAAAAAAATATTACAGCTTATCAATTAATTATTATTACAACTGTCAAAGATATGAATAGTGAAATTAAAAAATGAATAAAAATAAGTCAGCCTATGTTATATTCTCTGATAGGCTATTCGAATACTATTACGTAGAAAATTGCATATTTCGGCATCGACATAAATACGTGGCAGTTGGCACGGATGTCCTGAGCCAATAGGACTTTACATAATATTCGCAGCTCTATTTGCTACGAGTGACAGCAGTTTGATTTAGGTGGTAGTCAGCGACGGCCAGAGACTACCTACTTTTGAATTTACCTTAGCGACGGCTCCCTCGTCAGTGGCAGAAATCAGGGTGCACGTTATTTTTATTTATAGAATATAAAAAGATTTAAAAATTAATTTATATCTTGTCACTCGGGACTCAACGACATGACAAATAATTATTTGATAAAAGCTTCTACTCGTCCTTGGTATTTGTCGGCTGGCTGTACAAGAGTCAAGTTGAGAATAAAAATTGTATATGGTTCTCGCTCACACTTATGCGATACTTAATATTCTAGACGTGCAGCCTGCATATGCATTAGCCGATAGCCAATGACAAGGGATTCTACTTATTTTCAAGCAGTTTCCACGAATGTATCGATTGAACATGAAGTAAATGTTTTTTTTTTCAAAGTAACAGGTCCGAGCAACGTAAAAAGGATGATTTCTTTGTTTTGTATGACGAAACATAGTCAAAGTGGCAATTCTTAAGTCGACTGGCAACTCTTGCTTAATAAATCATCCTAATGATCTCATCGTGTGAATAGCTACAATACAAACACGTAAACCGGTTTACAAAACAAAGCTACGTATGGGATATTGGAATTATTCATAAACAGAGATACGAAAGAAGAACATGAAAGTCAGCGGAACAAGTTACAATTCTTAGAGGTCAACATACACCATGTTACGTCATGCACGTGCAAAAGGTAAAAACTAAAGTCAGTTGATATAATTATACGAAAAAGTAACCAGTTGAATAATAATTCTCATTGCTTTCATGACACAACGTACGAAATGCATTGTACGTGTACGCGAATCGAGTATTGTCATCGTCGGATAGACGGAACATTTAAGCATTTAAGAACGTAGCCATCTGGAGTTTGGTTAGCGAAGCAGTATTTGCATATAGGTGGCAGCACTGCCATCGATCACAAGCGAGAGTCAGTAACAAAGCTTGTCGTTGAGAATTGTCCAAGTGTATAACAGAATACCTAATTAACGTAAGGTCCCGTTCACCTTCACGCGATTCAGTGACTGTACAGCAGAGAGTAGGCAATAAAGAGTGAGTTAGATTATTAAGTTCGGCAAAGCTATGTATGTTAGACCGGGCTAAGGCCTGCGCTATGCTAAGCTAACCTATAGTAGGCTAGGTTAAGTTAGATTTGGCCAAGTGAGTACCTACCAGTACCTGTGCGTTTGTTTGTAAAACCAGGCACGGACGGTAATTGCGTGATATAAATGGACGGGCGTGTGTTCTGAATTAACGTACAGATTTACGAGCGATTTCGGACGTCCTCGAATTAAAAACAGAATTTATGGGGAGGTATGACTCCTGTAATTCTTTCTGTATAAGAGACGGTAAGAAATTCTTCCTGATTTTAACACGTAACGTGCTTCGCTTTACCAGATATTTCTTTTTTAATTATATTGTTTCTCTTTTTTTTTCATTCAATCTTTTTCTTGCTTTCTTATGCTGCGTTTTCATTATTTTGCCATTTATTTATTTCTTTTCAAAGCAATAAAGTAACGCGTGGCGAAGAATATTAACCTTTTGTGTGAATACAGCTTTAGTTTGATTACTTTAAGGAATTTACGTACGTAAGTATTGTTTTTTTAAATAGTTTTTGATTATTGGTACTGTTCACTATTTACCGAATGTCAAAATATACATAGTGATAAGTCATTTTTGAGTTAGTCGTTACGTTTTTACTTTTTCAATAAACATTCGGACGTTTCTAATTTTCTTACTTATTTCAGATCAATTGACGGTGTCCTATATGACCTCGTACGGGCAGATCCTCAATTACGTTAATCAGACAATGAGTGCACGTTAACGTAAATCTTGTACTCGATTTCTCGTAGCAAGGTTATTTATATTTAGAAGATAATTTGATTGGTCGATTCAGATAGAAGATGATACTGTAGACGGTATTTAATAAAAATTTTATCAATTTATAATTCGTACTCTAATAACTATACGTCATACGAAGATTAAGCGTGCACGAAGAGACCAGTTAAATTTAATCTTTATTCTTTATCAAAATCAAAATAAAAAATTATTCCTTTAACATTTAATTAGTCTCAGTAGTATACAGCGTGTCAATAAATCTCACGTGATTTTCAATTTCAGGCACGTGCTCGAATTTCACAATCCTTCGCACCAACAATGTAAATCTCAAGTACGGTCTGAAGCGGCTTCCTTTTTTTTTATATATATATTTGCGAACGCACGTTCCGACTTTATATACAGTTAGATTTCTACTGTGCCTACCGAATCGACTTTTTCATCGGTTTCCTTCCTCTACTTTTTCCATCGGTAACGATTTTGCCAACTACAAAGATTTTCGGCTACTCGCAGCAAAATAGTGACGAGTCATCGAACGAGAGTTCATAAGAAACCGTTATACCAGAGTGCACGGTGAGTCACGCGATCCAGATTTCAGGTGACAATAAGTCTACGATCGTATAGATCACGAAAGATCAAGATCACTCGAGCCTTTCTATTGTATCGCTACGGCGATTGGTTCGTACAAAAAAAGAAACAATTTGTGGCAGAGAGGTTGGATAGATATACCTTCTATACGTATGCGTGCAAGCGAAGAGAAGCCTGTCGGGCGCAGGAGGAAAAGAAACTGGTTGTCGCCAGCGTTGCCAAAGTAAGCAACGTTTGCCACTGTTGCCACAGTGTGTCCCTACTAACTTGTATCTCGACACGCTCTATGCTTACGGAGTGGCTTTAACGGGTTGGCTGATGGATTTGGCCTTGGTCATCGTTTGATCTCCACTCGAGTGAATCAGTTCGAATCTTTCTCGCACCTCTCGAAATTCATGAGAAAAGTTTCCACGGTTACGTGCATCAATGATATATCACTTTTAGGAACATTGTTCCTTGTTAAAGGTCCGTTGGTAATTTAGACCCACAGTATTGACTATTAACATTAACCTTATCACGATCGGATTCAAGGCTCTTGGATACAACGACAAATTTGAGTTTGGACGGGTCGATTTCGATTTTGAAAATTATTATTTATTTTCACAAATTTAATAAATTCTCAAATTTTGGAATCTTTCAAACTCAGTATCGTCGACCGAATTTATTGTTCGTATGGAGATTTATGATGAAAAATATTTTATTTAAATATTTTAATGTAATTAAGTAACTTTTTTATTGCTTAAATTGCTCTGTCAAATTTTTCATAACTTTATGCATTACCTACGTACATCAGTTGACGTTATTCGATTTTGCAAGGCCAAAAACTTCACGCTCTAGCAATATCTGCAGTTGAAAGTTTTATACGTTATTAGTTATCTGTTCTCCATCGACAACTCGTAATAAATCAACTCTAATCTTTCGCGCGTCGTAATCCGTCAAAATGTAATAGCGTGTCATTCCGATTGCGAGACTAGGTCTTGCTTCGTGAATGACGGGTTTTAACAAAAAATGATAAAAATTAAAAAAAAAACAATCTCTAATCAAGTCCCGAATCTACGATTCGACGGTTCTTACGACTTCGAAATTTTATTAGCTTGCACGATATTGCAAATTGACGAATTTCTTTTTCAACACTTGATAAATTTAATTATAACTTGAATAATGAATTCGAAATTAAATTTATCCATATTGAAAAATACGGCACGAATATTGTACAACATAATTGAAAATGAATTGTAAAAACTTAACGTCGAGAGCTGTTTATACAAATTAATGAACGTAACAGATTGCAGGACTGGGGATTGTTTCGATAACTTTTACATCATATAATATATATATATATTATATTTAGAAGCTGCTCTCGTCACGGTCTCTTGTTGAGGATAATCATGAGTCCTAACCTATCCTAACCTTAAATAAACTCGACCATTAAATGGTAATATTAAGCGACGAAGAGTCTCTTGCCGCATATGCCCGCCTTTCCTCAAATTAGTAAACACTATTAAAAACTGCGATTATAATAGTATTCGCCCACGTTATGAAATTTACACCCAGTCACACGTCCACGTGACGCGTATTTAACAAGCGCACATATTTCAAAGTCACGTCTTTTCTTAAGAACGTTGCATGAACAACAATGGAAGAAAAAAGAGGAAAAATCGACAAAAGCAAAGTATTTAAAGAAAAGAAAATAATCTCTCGCGACACAAACGACACGACCATCCAGATGATATTTACATTGAGCAGACAGCGCTTGGACGGTAAACAGATCGTATTAGATCGGTTTCAGACTCAGGGGACTTTAATACGTTGTAACTAACACTAAAGAGGCCCCTCGATGGAATGGCGTCGCAATTAAATAACATTTGTAAATGAAAATATTACCGATCGAACGATGAAAAAAAAAAAAAAAAAGTAATAATTATTTAATCTTGTCAATTCGAAATTTCACTCAAAACGATCCTCCCTTCTCTCTATTTTCAATATTACATCGATATCATAAAATGACCAATGAATCTCGCAATTTAGAACGTCAACGCTTAAAATGCTTCTCCCTCTTTTCTGGTCTCGATATCGTATCGATAATATTAAAAAACATTTATTAATACAACGTAATCGCTTTCGCTCGAAGTTTACGAGTACTCTGAGTTTTCCATGTTTTTCTCTTGCTCATTTTCCACCACACAAGAATACAACTCGAGCACGTAATCAAGAGCGAGTTTACACTGTGCATTCGTATCGCGCGCTTACTGTCAAGGCCGCGAAGATATACCATTTACGAACCGACGAGAACCAGCCTGACGACGTATCGCGTTCAATTTAGTCGTAATCGAAATTACTATATCGGCAATCGCACGCGCCTAGTAGCTCCACGAGAAACCCGCCCTGAAGTCACTCGAGCGTCCAAGGCTGCCACGCGTATTTTTACGACAATCGTACATACGTATAGCATTGCATGTACCGATCGTACGAACACACGTGCGGACGGCGGAACACGCGTCTGTAACATATGTTGAGTAGACGCGTGTATTTACTAACCGGTGTGTTTACTTCTGCGCTCTGAATTTTTAAATGACGTCTCCTACGATACGAATATTTCACGTGCCAGGAAACCTGTCGGCATTTATAAATCTAGGTACTTCTTTCTTCTCCTCCGTACCACCCTCTTATTTTCAACTGTACTTGCCACTGGCTAACGTATTAGACTTTATATGGGTCGAATCGAACGGTCATTTTTAACAGGCGATACTTCATTGATATCGTAGGGAAATAGAATTCGGGTTTTCAATGACTTTTACGATTTCATTTATTAGTTCGATTTTATCCGGGCCTATTGATAGCTGAGATGATGTAATAAGTTCAATTCGAATGACCATTGCGACTTGTGCCAATAAACAAATGATTCGACGGGACACGTGATCGAGGGGATAATGACTATCATTAGCCTCGTTACTATATACGTGTATATGATATTCTATGCGTACCTCGTCTGGTATTAATCGCGTTAGCAAGTATACGTATGCCATTGACGACAATAAGTAAATATAAGAAGCTTTTCTAGAACTGTTAAATACGATTTGCAATTAAGCAGGATCAATGGATGATATATAGTTATTTTTAAAAAAAAAGCTTTTTTTCATATTTCTTGCGAAATAGTTCAATCAAACTAAACGGACGAATATATTCGACGCTCTTATTGGAATAGGGGCTTGATATAATATCGTTAAAAAAATTTGCCGATTTTAAAAAAAATGATAGTGGCATTGCGTGATTTGAAAAAAAAATTGGCGATAAAAGAATAAAAGTTTTTTTTCTATCGCTAATCCTGTCGGACTCGAGAGAACAGCATCTTGAAAACATATTTTTGTCGTCGACCGATTGCCATCGTAACGATTCATAGTGAATTATTTCGTCGCACATTTAAAGCTACGATATTCAGCATCCTTGCGAAGAATCAGCTACCATGTCTATTATCGTTGGATTAATTTACGGAAGTGCGAAGAACAGATACGCATTATCCACTCGTACAATATCCTGATTGTCCAATCTTATTTTTTCTTGGTGCTTTGTGTTTTCTTTTCTTTTTTTAATCTTAAATGACTTTTTCGATAACCACGGTTATCGTTAAGCGATAATTAACACGGGGGTTATCTTTGACTTGTGAGAAAAATAAGTTTCATAAGTCACAGCGCGAAAGATGAATGAGATAAGATTATAATGGCGGAACGTGTCTAAGCATCTGCGGAGCGATGAAAATTTATTAGGATCATCAGAAACGGGTCTTACGTCAAAGATGGACTGTGGTTCTGATTTATTCTTGAAAATTACTGATATGCTTGTCTTATGCAAATTATCGTTTATGCAATTTGCTGTGTGGCGAACGTGCTTGTTATCGCGGCTTTCTCATAATTTAAACTTCTGTCTGCTTATTCATCCAATGTTAACGTCTACATAATGCGATAAGAGTGTTACTGAGAAAGATGGTACATATTGATTTTATGAATATGTAATGATTTGCAATTTGTATTAATTTTGACGTAGCTCCAATAACTTGGCGAATCCGCATGGAACACGTGGGAGCGTCTTAAGTAATCGTTATCTGTAAAAACAATGACAACTGCATGCAATTGACGGATAGGAATATGTACTGAAAATTGCAAGGAAACGAAATTCAGAAAAAAAATACAGGTTAGGCAAGTAACGTTTACATACGTCAAGTACGCCTAGGTTAAATATAGCGTGTATGTCAGGTTATTTTTTTTTTATTAAAATAAATATAGTCGGTTCGATATCACTATTGTATACAAGAATCTGTTTTACGTGTAAACTCTTAAGGAAAAGTGGCCTCTAAAAAGAATATTGATATCACCGATTGACTGTATATAGAATTGCAACAGTTATGCAGTCGTGCCTCGGAAGAGTCTTATTTACGTGTATGTTTCTTTCTTGAAAAACATACGTATTTGTATTACTGCATATGCGTTTATATGCTTGCATTTAATATTGAGTATGCCAGCAATGCTTTATTAAAACAAAAAAGAAAAGATTGAAGAAAATATCGCGCCAAAAGTACAAGTAATTATTTTTTACCTGAAATTCAGTGGAGTGAAAAGTAAAATTTTGGAAAATTGGTCAAAAAAACGAATTAACCGTTGATCAAAAAATTCTATGAATTCTACGAGTCACAGGTACGTTTCATACGACTTTTAACCTTTTCGTAAAGCTTGGCTCATACCTGAAAATGTAATGCCAAACTCGTAATATTTCATAACGGTTTCCTTTGTCATGGATAAACGAAGATAATTCTTTGAGGTCAAAATTTTCGTTTGACAATTTCTATCGGACACTTGTCGTACCTTAACACAATGGAACTACCTGTAGTCTCCCTTACAGTTAATCTTCGCAGTACCTGCCAAGTCTATGCCTAACAGATTTTCTAGCTCTATGCTATTGTTAAAATTTGTAGCTTTAGCCCCTCGTGCGTTCGCCTATCGATTTCAAGGCACCGATTGTCTCGTAAAGGCCACGTGGGCGGACACGAACTCTTTGTGAGAAAATGGACAAACAGAAAGGACCCTGTCGCTCATGGGTTTCGTTGCGCGGCTGAAGTTTTGTGGCTTCTGAAAAATAAAATATCTCACAGATTTATTAGACAGGAATTTTTACGTGTTTTGATTTTTCTACCTATACATATTTTTACCTATATTATCTATATATATAAATAATATATTATTATATATATATATATATATATATAAGCTTTCCTGGATATAACACCGTTGAGATTGGATATGATAAACGCGTGTATCTTCAAATTTGGTTTGTTTTCCAAAAACTTTTTTCGTTATAGGTACGTCAAGTGTTCGCAAACAAAGTTCAATGCTTGTTATCGCATAATTTATCTTTCCTTAACAAAGCGAGTAACGAGGGACGGAATTAAAAAGTGAAAAAGGACAATATTATTGTTACTTAAATTTATAATGATTATGGTTGCTGGTGAGTATTTTGATATCGCTACGAAAAATATCAATCAGTTAAGGAATAATCTGTCTGGTGATCGGAAAAAGTATATAAGGAATTAAAAAAGACATTTCTTGAATATGTATTACAGCGGGTATTTAATCACCGATAAGACTGTTTTTAGGAGATACGAACGAGTTACACACGTGATAGTGACTGATAGTTATTTTTTCTAATATTCTAATTTTTTTTTATTTCAATGAGACACTGATATGTTTAAAATGTCATTCATATTCTAGATGGAATTATTTACCTCGGTAATGATTTTACTTAGGTTTACGGAGCAGAAAATTATAATGTGATAAAGTGCCAAATTTTAAGCACGACCATTGGAAAAGGAGAGAAAAGGTACGCGTGGAAAAATTGTTTAATGAAAATTTACGGACCGTTGATTTTATCATTACGAAAAGTAAGGGGTTAGAGTTCTGGTTTTAGATGGCACAGTAACATTTATAAAAATGCAATATTTCCGTCTTTAAATAATTATATGTGCAAAATAAGTTTTTATTGCGATACCGAATACATAATGAGTGACTGTGAATTTTGTGCGATCGATTCTCAAGGCAAATCTGTTGCCTGATAATTTACTAACCTGGTTTATTTAATTCCTACTATTTTACACGTGCGGTATATTCGGTCAATCGTAGTATATGTAATAAAATTATATTCAATACAAATTTTCAATTTGAAATTCAGACAATTTTTCAAATACAGCCAATATTATTTTTTGATAATAAGCTTCTCACCGTATTGGTGATAATGACGATTTGTCACTTTTATCAGTATTTTCATTCTCGTTCGTCCATATATGTATACTCATCCAATGTAATTGGTCGTCCTAGCAATTGAAGAAAGAGTAATGAAACCGAATAATTTACATCAATGACAATCGACGGTAAAGACATATTTTCAAAGTTGCAAACCTACCTTGACATTTTTTAACTGCGAAGCATCAGTCTCACGAATATACATTTACGACTATCAGGTATCACGCAACAGGCCTACACTGCTGCTCTTTTTGTCAGGATGAGTCCTAGCCGGATTCCAGCCATCTGCATCCTTACGACGGAATAGGGTAAGGATACCTGAGGATTTCGTGAGCAGCGATTACATAAGGGGAATGCATAACAGGTTACCGAACGCAGGCTTCTTTCTGCCATATGCATAGTTGACCCAGAGAAAAAACCTGGAGAACCGATAATCCTAGCACAAGGTCACGGGTCAGTATTGCCACGTAATAAAATACTAAAAATAAATAATTAATCGAAATAAACAAATTTACCTCGGGTCCACCACCCGATGGAAAAGTATATATTTGCCATTGAAAAAATATAAAAATTTATTTTGCCTTACGCGGACCAAAAAAGTATCTGAAAAATCGCAACATCTATAATTATTCAGAAAAAAATTTTTTCAAATTATACAACTCGATAAGTTTGATCAATTCCTCCGGAATTTTTTTCCGTGAAAAATTCAATATACGCACCTCTTTTTCCAATACAGTAAAATTCATAAGTTCGCGTAAAGGTGCAAAAAAAAAAGTCAAAGGCAAAAAATCTTGATAACGCTAGAACAATCTGCATCCTTTGGCATTGAGAAACAATTATCAGATTTGCGATCGGATTACACGGGGAGAATGACTAAAGGAAAAGCATGGCGGTAACTTTTATCTCTAACGAGAATCTGATTTAATAAGAATTCAACGAAGCGCGTCCTTCCAGGAGACACGTCAGGGGATACCAACGTCACGGACCGATACATTAAAAGAGAATATGAAATAAGGATAGGAAAGTGCCGCCGATCGCGCAGTCATTCCTGACGTCCTGTGCTCCATAACGCGTGTCTACACGATGTATAAGTACACGAGTGTCGTCATATATTTCTGGACCTTCGTTAAACGTCGAAGGGGGACTTGCATGAGAAATGCAGAGACGTGAGTCCGATCACGTAGATCCAATGGTTGACATCATTAGCAGTCATTGTGATATCTCCGTGAGTTTGTATTATAATTGCAATAATATTGTTGCGTGGATTCGGTCACGTCATTAATTGTATACATAATTCGATATCGTTCGATTCGCGAGTTTTCGTAGTCTGCTGGCAAATATTTGTCTGGGCAAAAAGGAGATTCCGCATTTTAATCAAATAGTCGTAGTTATACATGCAATCGTAAAGGTCAAGCAAACTGATAAGGGGGATGCTTTAATCAGTTTTATTATATGAGTATACAGTATACATAATACATTTAAGAGTATCATTTACCACTTTTCGTAATCAGCTTTTATTTTAATTTTTTTTTTTTTCATTTCTTTACCCGTCACTCGGGTGCAGAGTTATTAAAGTTGATATTAAATTACTCGTCTGAAAGATCAATAAAAATTGTATCTATAAACGGATGTATTTTATAGTTTTATTTTAATTAATGATAAGTTCCAGTACGTGATCTTTTTTTTTGGTAACAATATAGGTTTACTTTATCGTTTGTCGTTGATCAGAAAATTTGTTGGGTTATGAATTATTTTGAATTTTCACACTGGGTAGATACCTGGGCTTAGCTTTGTACATAGAGAATAATTTGATTTTTGTGTACAATTCAGGGGGGCTGGCTTACGGGGGTTCGTCTAAAACTTTGGAAATTCTAATACAGGGGAATATGGGTCAGGTACGAAACGCACGGCTATGCCCCTTGTTCATTTTCGTGTGTTGAAGATTCTAAGCTATGAGAGGTGAATGTGAAAAATTCAAAATAACGTAATTATTCAGATGGCTTTTTACTCCGAGATCAGAAATCTCAAGGAAAGAGGCTTCGTCGTTTTAAACAATTAGTCAATTTTAAGCTTCGGATAATATACCTTTCATTTGTGCTAAAGCAGATGAACCTTTATTTTATTTCGCGGATGCTGCGCTGGACCAGATGGAGTCTGTACTATTTTTACAAACGTTCATGTTTAAGGCGACGGTTTTGCAAAATATTTTTCATTATTGTTTTGTTACATTCAAAATATATACGGAAGACATTCCTACTGTGTTACGCACGATCTTGCCTGAAAATATAAAACTGCAATTTCCTAGAACTTTCAGACACTCACATTAGCTTCGTCATGTGTGTTCCTACTGATTCACCTTTTGTCTGGTATATACATTCAAAGTTGCGAATAAAAGAAAAATATTATCCACAAAGCATAATACAATGTTTTAAATAAAAATTGTCTGGGAGAATTACGAAATTTACTCAAATGGTAAAAATTTTTCGAAAAATCGATATATGTATACATAGAAAAAAGAAATCAGCATGACAGTAACTAGGGATACCAAGCTCGATCAATGATAAAAATCGAATCAGGTTTTGCCAAGATAACGATAACTTCGGGTTAATCAAAAATTTGTTATTCCTATCTCAAAAGTACACCGCACTTGTCGCACAATAATTTACATCATAAAATGTACGCAAGAGACATACGGATTACTCGACAGTGCTGATACTATAGATAGGCTGTGGATTACGGTAATCCATAAGGCTACAGCAAGAGATTTACACGATTTATCAACAGATCGGGCAGCTTCGACTACATAATTATAACCAGCTATAAGGATCGTATAATTATATTACACAAGATCGATACACAGATACCTTTAATTAAACTGATTGACATACGGAAGTAGACGCCGAGCGTGATTAATAATTCGATAAAATTAAATAAAAATGTTCTCACCAGTTTTCTCCAACCCTCAAAGACCATTTCCAAATATGATTTTATTTTTTCCCCAAGATTCAACAACCCTTCGTGTTTAATTCAACTACAAATATTGAAACCCTCATGACTTTAATGACTGTACAAAAATACAAGCGCAATAGAAAATTAAGAATAAAAACAACACAAGGGCAATTAACAACCATGCTATCATTGACGTTATGGTACCCCTGTGTTTGTCCTTGAAATAAAAATTAGCGCAACATACGTAATAATATAAAATATATATATGTTATTAAGTCACAGACATATTCAAAATTTGATTTTTGCCAAAAATATAAATTATAATTGTTTCAGCAATTTCGAACGATACGTTGTCAATGTTATCATGCATTTACAGCAAACATGAAAAATATTCCCACGTGTCTCGTGCCATCATACCTAATAAGGTTATTTAGAATTTACTTGGAATCTATCGCTATCCGAATCACGATGCTTCGTTTGTGCCTGCCAGTTCTAGTAGCTGCCAATAGTAATTGACCTTTGAACCGATTTAAAAATAACGTTGCGTTAGAAGGAGAGGTCGCCGGCAAGGAAATTGACACGATTCATCGCTCAGCAACGACCCAACCACCGGGCGTTTACTCTTGATGTTACGCGACGCTAATATAGGCACCTACGTGGTTATGTGCACGTAAGTAAATGTCCGAGTGCATATATATATATGTATATATATACACATATATGTATGGGACCAATGGATCGAGCCTAATTGCCATTTGCGTCACACAAAAAATTGCCGCGTTTAATCAAAGCAAATTGACGTGTTTAACGCTGACCGTGTTTTTCAATTTTTTCTTTTGTATACCCCTCTTGGTTTCTCTTCGCTTAAATTATGCTTGGTAACAAATTCTCGTTGTGAAATTTGAAATACAGGGCATGCACACTTGATTTTTTGATAAATATTATAAAAATATTTTTCAATTTTATTGGCTACGTATAGTCGGGCCGCGACGTCAGTTCCACTTTGAGGGGACTCATTTACGTTTCGGTTCGTAAGGCTTTGGCCCCTCAAAGTGGAACTGACGCGTAAACCGAGTATGTCCATTTAGTGGAGTTTTAACGTTTTTTTATTCGTCTAAATTTCTTGTATTCAGATCGCTCAGGTCAGGTTGGGTTAAAGACTGTTACGTAATGAAAATTACGTCGAATTACGTGTATCGAGCTTAGAGAGCCTGGGTTATTGGCTCTAATAATGATTCTCGTACCAAAGACAAATTCTATTTCTGGATGACGCAAATTGGCACATTTAGCATGTGCTACAGTGAGCGGCTTATGCTGGCACTTATTTTGTGCACAATGTTGCATATATGGGAAATCGTTACAACCCAATAATGGATGAAATAAAATTAGAACGATGTAAATTTCAATATTCTTTTTCAAAATTATTAAAAATTTTCGTGCTTCTTGGACTGTCTTCAGCTTAAAAATTCGTAAAAAGTATTTTTGACCAAAATATTTTTGCGAATTTTTCATTCGATTTCTATTGGTAAACAATATTAATAAGAATCGCAATAATTTTATTACGAAATTTTGATTTTTTTAAAAATTATTTTATGCCAGAAAAATGAACTTGCGTGACTGCAAATGAAAATTCAACGAGTTTCCATTACTGGTTGTGTACGTAAAATTTTGAAAAACAGCCAACAGGAACACAGTAGCACACGAGTTAGCAGGCAGCACGTTACAATACAAGTGAATGATAATATGAAATAAGCGTAACTTCAGTTAGGAAATAATTTCCATATGATAAAAATACGATAAGTCAAATTAAAATGCAAATTCCTCAAATTGCTTTCACAGACGCAAATGCAATAGAGGCTGCACAACTAACAATAATAAGTAACGCATGACGCATAATTCGTAATGCACTCGGGACTATATTTGTAAATGGAAGGACAAGTCAATGTTAAAGTGAACATTTAAAGCAAAAGTCCGCATTGCTGAAATACAGTATATTCCATTGATCGTGATGAAAATTTATTTTTTAACACGTTACGCAAATTTTCACATAATATCACTAAAATCCCATTAAATTTATTTTCGCGTTATTAACTATTGTTTTACATGTCGAAAATACATTTTCGTATGATACACAATGTCCGCATGCCTTAATTTCTCTTGCGGTATTAATATCGAGCGAAGGTAGTCATGATATTTTTATGTCACCACTTATAAATAAAATGTCAATATGCATTAATTCATACGGGATGCGGGAGGCATAATTAATGATTTTCGCTAGACTTGCTTTAAATGTGACTACCAAACGTAAATATTTCATTTTTTTTAAAAATATTATTAACTTGAAGAAAGTGCCTGCCTAAAGTTATAATTTCAACCTGCAATGGTATGCAGTAACGTCTTTGTTCGTTTGCTTCACCGCTTATGTATAAAGTATATAATTTTCACTTGACAAGCAGCATCGAGTTTATGTATACAGGGTCATTCAGGCCAAATGCATTACCTGAAGTTAGCTTGACTATTTGGTTTCTATGATAGAGCCAACTTCAGTCGATTCATTTTTATCGAACAGCTCTGTCTACATCTACAGGGTTCGTTCAGTAGAAACACACAATCTGAAGGTGGTTATACTATGGAAATCAAACGGAGATGCTAACTTCAGGTGGTACGTGTAGCCCGAGTAACCCTGTATAATTTGTCCACGATAACAGCTTTATGTTCAATACACTTAATAATGCTATAAACGGTAAAAAGTAGGTCCTTTAAAATTGAAATTAATGTTACAGCAAACATCAATAATATATACTATGTATATGAGAATACCAGTATATGTGACTTATATAGATATATACTGGTCGCGAGTGACTTAATTTTGAATAAACGTGATTTTAGATTATTTACGTTATCGTCGTTGTAATAAACATTCGCTTACACGTGATTGACTTAAATATCACGAAATTCGATAAATAAACACTTTCTTGCTTTACTTTGTGCGCATATAGTGAATTACAAATGTTCATTCATATTCCATTCTAAATAGGTACTATTTTTAACTGTGATGGCCAACGTGTCTCTCGCACGAAGCATACTTCGTTGACTTGAATTTCCTCGATTTGTTATTCAACATTCATCATTCACACTACCATTATTCACTTATTCAATTATTACTCATCGTTTCGTTCTTATTTCTCCCAAACACTGTCTCTTCGTATCTTATTAGCGAATTAAACTGTAGGAATTTATGACGTAGATACGAATATTGTGTCACGTGAGATCCAA